ATATATATCACAGAATACACTCAACTAAATCCATAAACAGGTAAAAGGCTAAATCACAAGTACTCAAAGGCTATCTAGTTGGAGATCATTTTCTTTTCAAAGTTAAGCAGCTTTTGACCATTTTACTGTTGACTATCACAGAAAAGTGAGCCAAGGAAATAATACCAAAAATGAGTATTCTATTCAGTTTTTATCAATAATTCTTAATAAAAGAGTTTTGAAGCCAAAAAGAACACAAAATAAAAGTATAAATAAGGATCCAAAAAAAAAAGTATTAAAAAGTAGGAAGATCTTCAAATCAGAAAGGGAACAAGAGATGGAGGGAGGAGGGTTAGGGAGGAAAGGAAAGAGTTTTTTAAAAAATAAAAGTTAAAAAATGGAAATAGAGCTTTTGCAAATGGGGAGGGAAAGAAGAGTTGGCAGGAACAGGGAGGGTCTGGAGGGAAAGGGAACAAAAAAAATTAAGATGTATTAAGTACATGTATAAACTCCCCACAATAAACGTAATTATGTACTGCAAATACATACTAATAAAGAAAAAAATCTCATAATGCAATCTCATAAAATTACATGTGACAAAACCAAGGCTCAAATAATTCCCCAAAATGGGAGCGGTTCAAAATTTTAGACTCTGCTCCCTAGATAAATGCCTTTATTTTTTGCTGATATGGGGAAGGCTAAAAATAAGCTAAACTGAAATAACTATCTTTGCTAATGCCTTTCCCTCATCCTTTATTAAAGAATTAAATTTCCTAAGAACACATCCCACAAACAATTGTAATAAATACAGTACAAGTCAACAGAGAAATCAACAACTCAACCTTGTGGTTTCCAGGACTGAGCATTAAATGAATATTTGTAATAAAATCTGTAAAGTTTGCTTACACTAGAGATTGTCAAAGGCATGTTGAAATCCTTGCCACCTTGCAGCCGGAAACCCCATGGAGCTGGGCCAACCAAAGACACACTGTAGTTGCTCATGGTTCCAATGTCTCTAAGCCAAATGCCAGGATATAAAGGAAACTGAAAGAAAATTAGATAGTCAACAAAAATGTTCACCTGAAACCCTATTCTATATCTAAATGTATTTAATACTTAGCCAACTAAACTATGTTCAGTATTGGGGAGGGTTAAGGGATATAAAGAATAGGTACTAAGTTCTTCATCAATTTTAGTCAAGAAGAGGAGTCTTATCTAATTAATACAAAGTGTTTACACTCATACAAATTTTAATCTAAAAATTACCTATCAGAATCTTTCATCACTTTTACAAGTTGCTACAATCCAATTTTGTGATTTCTGAATACAAACTTCAATTCAACACACTTTACAATATTGTTAAGTATTTCATGGAAGAGGGTGGCAGGACAAAAGTGCTGGGGGTTGAACCCAGGGCCTTGCACATGCTAGGCATGCACTCCACCACCAAGCTATACCTCCAGTGCAAAGACAAGATTTTATTTCAGCTTTAATTCAAAATTATTTTCCCTTTTCCTCTCACACTACATGCAGGTGGCAAGAGACCCTCAAGTTCACTTAAACTGTAAAACAAGAGACTAAAAATCAGTAGTGATTCCCATTGAGGTTTTCTAAATATTTAATTCTTTAAAATGAGAAATGGGTCTACAGCCATACCATCCTGAACGCGCCCAAACTCTAAAATGAGAAATTGGTTTAATGCACAAATCCTTGTCTCCAATCATGAACTACAACTCATATTCCCTTTTATAGAGACAAGGTATTTTCTACACTTGGATACTTGCTCTCCCTTCAGATAGGCTGTAATTTGCAATCCTTTAGATATTTTAGTCAGAACCTTTTTATTGTACACATATGCCTCATTAGGCAAAGTAGAGAATAAGCATTTACCACCCAGCGAACCAGACTATGACCAAAAACTGCAGAGGTATAAGGCTAACACATGAAATTGAATTGGAGGTTTAGAAAGAACTAGTGCCTCAGCGTTTCTTTTGTTTGTTTCTTTCTTTCTTTTCTGCTGTAAATGTGTTCGTGATGAATCTAAAGTAATACTTTCAAAAATAATTTTTTTAAGTCTGACTTGGAATTTTCTATCGATAGTTACAGCGATAGGAGACATTGGGAAGAATGAAGTTCTTTTAACAGAATACTAAGAGACATAATAGCTCCTTTTAAAAAATATTAAAACTACAACAGGAATTTGAAATTGTAATTTTAAGACACCTTAAAACAAAGCTGTTGAAGAAATACTTCCATAGAAAGTCTGAGCACTTAAACCAAATCACTACCTTGTACTATTAACCATCTTAAAATATTTTCTTCATTTTTTGAAGCCATTCAAAATTTCTATCCCCTCACACCAAATTCAGTGGCAGATGCAGATATTCAAACCACTGGGTATACATAAAGCAAACAGATTCCTTCATCTCAAAAAGGGAAAATGAAGTAACACTTTAAAATAAGACTGGCTCTTAGTTCAAGAAAAAGTAATCCATGAATAATATGAACTGTATCCACCTAGAAAATAAATGGATTTTTCCAATGACAAAGTGGGAAACTTAACTCCTAGGCAAAAAAAAAAAAAAAAAAAAAAGTACTGAAGCAGCAGGCAGACCACTAAAAAAGAGCCAAGGCCACACCAGAAGTCAAATTGTTACACATTGAAAACCAAAACTCTGAAAGTTAATATGAAGCTACATATTAGGTTAGTTGCTTCCCCACTACAAAAACAGATTTTCATGTAACTAGTAAAGAAAGTTTTAGTACTAACATACAATACAAATCAGAAGTGTGTAAAATCCAAGTGATAATTTGCAGCCTACTGTGCTTTTTAAATTTTTAACTTGTGGCAAGGAAAGAATGTAAAAAGGCACAAATTCCTCTGATCCCATTTTTCCCTACATGAAAATGTATATATCACACATAGAAGTAATTTTACTTGGGGAGCCCCTTCCAGGTATGTCCCATTATCAAAATTGCTATCAAAACTGCTACCACTGTAAAGGTCACAGCTACTCTACAAAACCGGCATCCTTTCTTTTCTACATTCTCCTTCTGCTAGCTTCACTTGGAATTCAGTCATCTTAAAATATTCTGATCCCTAAGCAATGGCAATATTCTTATTGGCCATTCCTGGGTCTCCTCCATCTGGTTATTGGTGCCCAACCCTTTCCTAAAATACCAAGCAGGCAAGAAATAGCAGTCTATTCTGCTTTCAAACGCATGGAACATGTTGGAATTTCTGTACAATTGGGGATCTTCTGTATGTCTTTGCTCTAGAACTAGAGAAACAAGCCTGGTGTTTCCCACATTTGTTTCCCAGCTTCTCTGGTGGGTAGGAGGACAGAGAACTCGGATGAGCTAAATGCACAGTGATAAAAAGGGCCAGAAACTAAGGAGAAATGTGTAGAGATACTTTTTTTCCCTATGCAGAATTAATGGAGGCAGAGTTGAAAGAAGGAAGTAGCCAGGGTGCATTTTCCAGCAAAGCCTCACTCCTCTCCTAGGGTCCAGAGCAGGGTGGGAAGGCGGGCTCCTCGGGAGGGACCTAGGGTGACACCAGGAACCTGCCTGAGGAATTTGGGGTCACACACACCGAGGATTTGACCTGCCAACCTGCTGGACTGGATGGGGGGGTCATAAAACGGACCTGCGCTGAGGAATTTGGGCCCCGCACGCACCCCGGACCTGCCCTGAGGGACCCGGGGTCACACGCACCCCGGACCTGGTCTGAGGGACCTGAAGTCGCACGCACCCCGGACCTGCCCTGAGGGACCCGGGGTCACACGCACCCCGGACCTGGTCTGAGGGACCTGAAGTCGCACGCACCCCGGACCTGCCCTGAGGGACCCGGGGTCACACGCACCCCGGACCTGGTCTGAGGGACCTGAAGTCGCACGCACCCCGGACCTGCCCTGAGGGACCTGGTCTGAGGGACCTGGGGTCACACGCAACCCCCCACCTGGTCTCAGGGACCTGAGGTCGCACCCGGACCTGGTCTGCCCCGCCGGCCACGCATCTGCTCTCGAGCTCGGCCTCAGCACGCCCTTCCTTTCCCCCTTCCACTGATCGTCAGTCTCCTGACGGCGCCGTCCCTCACAGCCCAAGCCCGCCCTACCCTAAATCTGGGTTCGTGACAGACTTGGGAAGAGAGCTTATTTCTGCGCGCAAGGGAAGTTTTCCTCAAACAGGTTCCACCGCTGGGAGGAGGAGGAGGGAGGTACACGCTTCTCGGAAGACCAGGCGCGTGAGAACCCAAATGAACACGCCTTCCCCAGTCGGCGAGCTGGACGCGGGACCCGACGAC